TATGGGCCCAAGAACAAAATAGACAAAGTACCCCATTTCTCAAGAGGTTTACAAGTATTTAATGTAAAATTGTATATATAAATAGAATAAATAGATCGATATAATTTTAAGTATTGATAAGGTCTTAGGAGAGAAAGGAAGCTGGAGAATGAAAGTGAATCAATTCTAGAAGGGCCTAGTGGTTGCATTTTTTTTTTATCCTCCCCCTAGGACATTTTTCCATTTTTTTTCAGATAGAGTGGGAGGGAGGGAGGGAGAGAGAGAGAGAGAGAGAGAGAGAGAGAGAGAGAGAGAGAGAGAGAGACTGATGTGAAAGGGACACACCAAGTGGCTGCTACCCGCACGACTCAACCAGGGCCGGGGACAAACTGCAGCCAAGGTACACGCCCTTACCGGGAACCGAACCCGGGTCTCTCTGAACTGACGCTCTAACCGCTGAGCCAAACCGGCCAGGGCGGTTGCATTTTTTTGTATAGTTAAGTCTTTCAAAACAACCCTGTGCCCTCTCAGCTTTCTAGAAGTTACACAGGTAGGGCTAACATAGACTCAAGAGTGAACATTGTGAAATCCAGAAGCTGACCTTCAGGAAACGAAGCCTAACCAGGAGTCAAACGTGGATGTTTCTTAAATGTTAGTTTGTGCCTGGTTTTGACATTTTCACAATGTGCGACAATTTTAGACCTGGCTTTAACGCTGATTCCCTATAGTTTTAATTTTTTTTTTTTTTACTTTGGTCAAAATGAATATTTGAAGTTCTACAGATCAGTGTATTTGACAGCAGTCAGTTGCTTACTTGATCCTTTTTGGGGGGTAATTTTTTGGTGACTGACTCATTCTCAGACTAAACTTTCCTTCCATTTTAATTTATTATTATTACTTAAAATGTTTTACTATCCTGTCAACAAACAACTTTGCAAAAAGCAACCCCATTAACGTAAACTACATACACACACTTTGCTTACTCCCCCTCTTACCATGAACTTCACACTCCTTCACCAAACAGTCTGACGTGAGCGCCAGCCAATTAGAGAAGCTGTTACAAAGAGCTGAGGATTAGCCCTCATTTCTTCTGTCCTTGTTGAATCCTTGTGAGGTTTATAGTTGTAAGTTATAATTAGTATATACAACTTTGATTATTGTCTTGATTTTTTTATATACCATTATTTCCCATGACCTTTTTGTATATCATCTATATTATACACATAGTTTTGTTATGTTATATGGGGAGGTAGAGTTTATTCCAACTTTTTTTTTTTTTTTTTATCCTCACCCGAGGATATTTTTCCATTTTTTGTACAGATAGAGTGGGAGGGAGAGAGAGGAAAGGAGAGAGAGAGAGAAACATCGACGTGAAGGGACACATCGAGTGGCTGCCACCCGCACGACCAACCAGGGCCGGGGACAAACTGCAACCGAAGTACGTGCCCTTAGCGGGAACCGAACCCGGGTCTCTCCGGACCGCAAGCCGACGCTCTAACCGCTGAGCCAAACTGGCCAGGGCTATTCCAACTTTTTATTCTTATGAAAAGGATCACTATAAACATCGTTGGAAATACTGATTTTTTTTTTTTTCTTTTTGGATTATTTCCATGGAAATATGAAACCATTGCCTAAGGAAGATGAGAAAACAAATCAATCATAGCATCACCTCTGACTATTCCCCCTTCATATGTATAGTGACTATCACTGCTGTTCCTTCTAATGTAGTGAATTTGAAGTTAAGGTCAAGTCATTTGATACATTCTTTGGACTCCAAGAGTTGTTTGTGGGAGTTAATGTGTTGATGTTTTCATTTTAATGGTCTTTTAAAAATGTATGTTCTGTGTCATATGAACAACCTTATAACTGAACTGTCTTGAGTTGTAGAATTTCTGGGCGGTGATGCTTTGCCACAGCTATGAGTAAAGAATTAAGCTTTGAGGTGGAATGATGCCAAGAGATGGAGTTAATATAAGTATGTGTCCAACAGACACTGTGAGGGACCCCAGAATGTTTCAGATGCTGAACTGGGTGGAAGTAGTCTCACTGGCGACACAGCACCGTCTCTAATCCCCACGCTCCTGAGGGTGTACAGCTTAATGTCACTGCAAGGGTGGGGATTCTCCCAGCAAGAGACACTTACCTGTGACGTTTTACAGAGTCTCCTGTACTGGCTCTCTACCCGCCCTCAGCTACTCTGGGAGCTCTGGTATGTGCCTTTCTGCTCATCAGGTATAAGACAGGAGTGCAAACTGCCCCACTCCCCACGCCTACGCGAGCGCGTTCCCAGGGGTTACCGCGAGACCAGGTGAAGCAAAGGCCTTCACGTTCCTCGGGCAGCCCTGGTGTCCGGCTTGTCTGTGGCTCATTCCTGTTCCTCCCTCCTTCATTACCGAGAACTCACTGGCTGGGTCTCTCAGGTTTCTAATTTATTCAACTGTCATTTCTGCCCATACACTGAGGTTGTTTTTTCATGAATGATAACACTTCATTTGTATAATCTTGAGTTAATTCTTTTCATGGATGTACTGTCTGCTTACGTGTCTGAGGATGTTCATTGTGCTATTCTGAAGTCCTCTGGTGTTTTCTCTGTTAACTCTGATTCATTGGCCATAAGCTCTTATGTTGGTTTTTGTTTCTGTCCTCAGTGGAGTTGGCTTTCTCAAGTTGTTCTGGCTCCAGGGCAGAGGTGAAATGAACTGCTGGGGCTTCTTAGTCCCGTGGATTCCCCTGGAAATCGGGAAGAGGTGGAGGTGCCTTCTGGGGGCTAGTCAGGGGGTGCCTACCCTTTCTCCAGGGTTCTGGGACCCCGCCGCTTTCCAGTACAGGTTGCTGCCCCTGGAGGGACACACCCTCTGCTGCCTGGTCCGAGGAGGGCAGAGGTGGGCGAAGTGCTGCCAGCTGCTCCTGCTGCCGCGTCCCGACTACTCCCCTGCAGGGCGCTCCAGGGCTTCCGGTAGCGCAGCACTTGGGAGCTGCTCCCGTGCTTTGAGTGAAATTTGTGATTTTTAAATGGTCTCTTTTCCATTATTCTTAGGGATTTGCGTGGAGGTTGGAGGAGTAGAACCTTGACATGTTTCAATCTGCCAACTTGAAATAGCATAACATCTTAGGAAAACAATTTTGTCCCCCTATTATATCCTTGAGAAACTCAGGCAAATGTGTATCAGGACACGGGTACAAGAACATTCAAAGCAGCATTGAAACAACCAGAATCTAGAAAAATCTTAGTATCCAGTAGTGGTAAAATGAATAAAAGATGTGTGGTATAAACATACATATATTCATTAACATAATAATTAATGCCATAATTCCAACACTATACATAATGGAAGGCACATGAATAATCTTAAATTTTCTGGAAGCCACTTAAAAATAAAAAGAAATAGTGAAATAAATGTTAGTACATTTTATTTCACTTATATGCAAAATATTATCATTTCAACATATAATAATTATATAGATTATTAATAAGATATTATACATTTTTTCACATTGTCTTTAAAATGTCCAAAGTATTGCCCTGGCCAGTTTGGCTCAGCGGTTAGAACGTTGGCCTGTGGTCTGGAGAGACCCAGATTCGGTTCCCACTAAGGGCACGTACCTCGGTTGCAGTTTGTCCCCAGCCCTGATTGGGTCGTGTGGGTGGTAACCACTCAATGTGTCCCTTTCACAACGATGTTTCTCTCTCTCTCTCCCTCCCACTCTGTCTGAACAAAATATTGACAAATGCCCTCAGGTGAGGATAAAAAAATAAAAAATAAAATATCCAAAGTATTGTCATTTGTACATGGAATCAATAAAAATATTGTTAATTAGAGTTTACTTGCTTTATTCCATACTGTCTTTGAAATCTCAGTTTGGTTGCTAAATTTTTAATCAGAGAGACTTGACCTGTATTTAGATTTTATGAATGTACAGTTGAAAAAGTAGTATCAGGTACCCAGACTGTTGCTAACGCCCTTGAATGGGAGGCAGAGAAAGGGCTGTGATTGGAGGGGCCACCTGTGGGCCTCTGGGATGCTGGCAGTGTTCTTTCTGGACATGAGTGGTGTTATATGGCCACCTGTGTCTATCTTGTATGTGCTCTATGGACATTTTAGTTCTCAGAAGAATTGTTTAATGGGGGAAATAATCTAGTGACTTCACCTGTAGCCCCGATCTAGGTCTGTATGGGGCTTCCATAACAAGTTTTGGGGAAAGAGAGGAGGAAATGACAGTTCTGCCCAGAGCTGGGTTCTGACATGAGTTTGTGCTCTAGAGGGTAGACATTAACTATATGATTTGGTGGGAAGAGTGGACAGGAGAGAGAGAGAGAGAGAGAGAGAGAGAGAGAGAGAGAGAGAGATGGAGAGAGACGAACACAAAGAGGACGTGAAAAGAAAGGTTTGAATAAAGAAAGAGCAAAGATCACCATCCATAAATTAAATAAAAATTAGGGTATTTTGATGGCACCATTACCCTGGTTTCCCATATATATTTCTGTACAGTAAATAGTTGTAATTATTTTGCATTTTGATCCAGAAATAACTTCTTCATTTTTCAGAAATATCAGTGGAAATAACTTGCAAGAAATACATAAGGAATCATTTGCAGGCCTGCTATCTCTCCAGTATTTGTAAGTTAATTATATTTATTTACGAGTTGTTTTAGTTATATTATCTGTAAAATAAACAAGGGGTTCAAATGAGATCATCTCTATAATTACTCCAGGCAATGCAGTTCTACAATTCTGTAAGTTTGTAGGGCTCCAGCCCATCTCTAGCATTTACTATCTCCTATTTTCAGTTTTGTAATCATGTAGACAAGATACAGGTAGAAAAACTCTTCAGTTAGAGATGAAAGGTGGTAATGAGGTCTGAGTAGTTATATACACGCATATGACTTGTTATGTAAGTGTTCATATACTAGCTGGTTGCATTTATATTTAGTTTAGGGCCCATGGATCAAATCAGACCTATGTATGTTTGTTTTTTTCTTACAGCACATAAGAATGATTTTTATACTTTCAAAGGGCTGTAAAAGAGCCCTGGCCACTGTTGCTCAGTTGGTTATAAAGTGTCATCTCAAACACCAAAGCGTTTCTGGTTCGATTCATGTTCATGGTATGTACCCCGGTTGCAGGTTCAATCAACAATCAGAGGGTGTGCAGGAGGCAACCAGTTGATGTTTCTCTCTTACATCTCTCTCTCTCTCTCTTTCTCCCCCCTCCACTCCTCCCCCTTCTGTTCTCTCTCTAGGATCAATAAAAAAAAAAAAAAAGGAAGGGGCTAGAAAAGAAATGAAGAAGAATATGTGAGACAGACTGTCTGTGGCCTGTCAAGCCTAAAATATTTGCCTTCTGGCCTTTAAAAAAAATGTTTTAAAATGTTAATTTAGTAAAATAAGAGGAATTCTGGTGAACTCAAATTGGCTCCTGTAGGAAAAGAAAATATAGAACACTCAATTAATTTGAATGCCATTAACCTACAATTTTTTGGTAATTTAATCTAAATTAGATTAACATTTACATATTAAATGTATCACTAAGAAGATGAATTATGTTAACAGTATTATTAAGAACATATTAAGTTACCAAGAGAACAGACTGGTGTTAAGGATTTCAATGCTGGAATTGTTATAGCAATACTGAAAATAAATGTTTAAAATGATGTATACTTAGAAATGTCTACACTAAGTTAGCATATCAGCAATGCCCCGAACTTCACTAATTACAAAATAAAAATCCTCCAGCCACCCTGTCAAGGAAGAAATGCTTGCCTAGTGATTGTATTTATTTAGAGATAGGGAGATGACCTTTACTATGAAAATTCAGTTATGGTCCTTTGTCCATCGCATCCAGAGCTGTGTGTGTCATTAGTCCTTATTAAGCTAATTATGATGCTCTTTAGTAAATAGATTGATTTTGCAAATGTAGAAGGCTTACGGGAGGTGGGTATAAAGAGCCTCATGTGACACTAAAATAGTCCTTTGGATAATCAAACCTTTCACGCCTCGGAGGGACAACCAGTTCTGTGCTGGTCTTCTCGGGGATCTGCCGTCTGGGTTCCAGTTCTTACAAACAGTGTGGAGGGAACAAGTGAGGTAATTAACTGCTCCACAGATTGGGTCATTCATCACTCCTACTTTGTGAGCTAGTTATTTCACGGTAGCATAAGTATTCCCATTCATTTAAAAATGCCAAGCAATTAACAAGCTACAGCCAAGCCGATGTGGCTCAGTGGTTGAGCTTCGACCCATGCACCAAGAGGTCACTGGTTTGAGTCCTGGTCAGGGCACATGCCCAGGTTGTGGGCCAAATCCCCAGTGGGGGGCATGCAGGAGGCAACCAATCGATGCTCTCTCTCTTCCACGTTTCTCTCTCGCGCTCGCTCTCCTTTCTTCTCCCTCTAAAATCAATGAAGAAAAATATTTTTCTAAAAAAAAAGAAGAAAAAATAAACAAGCTACAAAAGAATATGCCAAGCCCTGTACCTAGTACTGTAGGCACAAAGATGTGTAGGACAGGGTTCCTACCCTTCTAGTAACTCATGACCTCACAGGGAAAATAAACATATAAGCTTCTTCCATAGCGCACAAGGCTAAATGGAAGACAGTGTGCTGCAGAGGCACACAAGAGGGAGCCATGAAGTAATAAAATGACATTTCTTTTAAAACAGTCATTTTTCTCCCTCTACCTCCCAGCTATTTGTTTATTTTATAAATATTTGAGTTTGCGCCTGTTCACATAGACAATGCAGATGAGCAGGACCCAGTCCATACTTTCAAAGAGTTTATGCTCAGAGGAAACAGGATGCAAACATAACTGTATGGGAAAGAAGAAACGGATGTGGGCAGTGAGAGATGTAAATTGGGTTTGGCACAGCAGAGGGAAAAGAGATGCTACCAGAGCGATGCTGTTTGAACAGGACCTTGAAGGGCCCTTGGAGATCATTGCACAGACATTTGGGGGTAGAATAAGCTTGCAGAAGGAGCGTAGGGAAAGGCAAAACACAGGATCAATACCTTGGGTGCCTGTAGAGTGCGGTAGGGAGAGGAGGAGAGGAGAGCCAGCTCTTCTAGGGCTTTGAATGCCAAGCTGCGGTGTTACCACACCAGTGCTCCAGGACCAGCTTCAGTCTAAGACAGAATCACGTGGAGGGCTTGTTGAAACTCAGGCTGCCTCCCCACAGGTAATAATCCAGTGGGTCCAGAGAAGGGCTGAGAATTTGCATCTTCAGTAAGTTCCCGAATGATGTTGGCTGGTATTTGAGAACCACGTCTGGACTGTTAATCCGGTGACTGTGTGCAGGATGGATTAGAAAGGGGGAGACTAGATACTTCCGGTCACGATGGCGGGTAGGTAAACGCGGTTTCGCGTCCTCCCACAATCACATCAAAGTTACAACTAAACTACAGAACAACCATCATTCAAAACCGCCTGAAATCAAGCTGAATGGAAGTCCTACAACTACGGAATTAAAGGAGCAGCCACATCCAGACTGGTAGGAGGGGCGGCGGTGCGACAGGCTGGTCCCACACCCACGTGTGGCGGATAAAAATCAGGAGGCTCCCTCGGCTGGGAAGGTCCTCCCTGAGGACTGAGGGGTCCCCGTCCCACACCAGGTGCCCTGCTCAGGGTTCCAGTGCCAGGAAGAGAATCCCCATAACTTCTGGCTGGAAAAACCAGCAGGAACTGAGGCTCAGGGAAGCTGAAGCGGCTGGAGCCCCAGGCAGCTCCTTAAAGGGCCCGCGCATGGACTTATCGGACTCTCTCCCTCTAAGCTTGGAGGGGAGGCAGCTCGAGGGGTGCCAGAGACATACAGGGAAGAACTGAGCTGTTTGGCACTGGAGCGAGGGCTGGAGAGGGGGCTTTCTCCAGGACAGACATGCTGTCAGAGGCCTTTGTTCCTCTGGTGAGCCCTTCCCTGGGGCGGCAGACAGTCGCCATATCTGGGACTCCAGCAACCTGGCTCACACGTGTAGCCCCGCCCTGGTGATTCCCTGAGGCCCCACCCCACCCAACTTTCAGGCCCACCCAAGCTGTTGCCACTTGCTTAACCATAGGATTGGCCTGTCTTGGATCCTGCTTCAGGTTTTCCCTAAATTCTTTCAAATGAGCAGCATCTGGTCTCAGCTAGCCCCATACCGCTCGTTAAGTAATACACAGAAACAAACACAGGGAGGCAGCCAAAATGAGGAGACAAAGAAACAGGTCCCAAATGAAAGAACAGAACAAAACCCCAAGAAAAGAACTAAGCGAAATGGAGATAAGCAACCTAACAGATGCTGAGTTCAAAATAGTGCTTCTAAGGATGCTCAATGAACTTAGTGAGAACCTCAGTGAACTTAGTGAGGGCCTCAACAGTATAAAAAAGGACCAATCAGAAATGATGGATGCACAGTCAGAAATGAAGGAGGCATTAACTGAAATAAAGAATAATTTACACAGATTCAATAGTAGAGTACGTAAATCCAAGAAACAAACCATAGATTTGGAATGTAAGGAAGCAAACAATGCCCAATCAGAACAGCAAGAAGAAAAAAGAATCCAAAAAAAAATGAGGATAGTGTAAGGAGCCTCTGGGACAACTTCAAACGTGCCAACATTCGCATCTTGGGGGTGCCAGAAGGAGAAGAGAGAGAGCAAGAAATTGAAAACCTGTTTGAAACAATAATGGTAGAAAACTTTCATAACTTGGTGAAGGAAACAGACATACAAGTTCAGGAAACACAGAGAGTTCCGAATAAGATGAACCCCAAGAGGCCCACACCAAGACATATCATCAAAATGCAAAAGGTTCAAGACAAAGAGAGAATCTTAAAAGCAGTAAGAGAAAGGCAGCTAGTTACCTACAAGGGAATTCCCATAAGGCTGTCAGCTGATTTCTCAAAAGAAACTTTGCAGACCAGAAGGGAGTGGCAAGAAATATTCAGAGTGATGAAAAGCAAGAACCTACAACCAAGATTACTCTATCCTGCAAAGTTGTCATTTAGAATTGATGGCCATATAAAGACTTTCCCAGACAAGAAAAAGTTAAAGGAGTTCACCACCACCAAACCGTTATTATATGAAATGTTGAAGGGTCTTTTTGAAGAAAAAGATAAAATATATGAACAAACAAAATGGCAATGAATACATAGCTATCGACAATTGAATCTACAAACAAAATGAACAGGCAGAACAAAAACATTCTCATAGATACAGAGAACATTTAGTTGGTTCCCAGATGGGAGAGGGGTTGGGGGAATGGGTGAAAAAGGTGAAGGGATTAAGAAGTACAGATTGGTTGCTAGACTGACAAACCTCAAAGGGAAAGGGGTTGGGGGGGGGGGAGAAATAAACCAAAGAACTTATATGCATAACCAATGGACACAGACAATAGTCTGGGAAAAGGCGGGAGGGGTCGGGAATGGGGAGGAGGGGGTCAATGGGGGAAAAATGAGGAACATCTGTAATACATTCTACATTCAACAATAAAGATTTAAAAAAGAAGAAGAAGAAGAAAGGGGGAGACTAGAGATGGAAATAACAGTCAGAAGACAGTTAGACCCATCCTGGTGAACAGTAGGGACTGAACTGGAATTAGTGGAAATAAGACAATCAGCTATAGACAAGAGATGACATTTTTAGATAAAAAGCCAGCATCATGTTGTTCTCAGCTTTCCCACTGCTGTACAATTGAAGCGATTAAACTCGTGGATTGTTAAAGCAATGTAAAGTAAAAGATGAATTTCTATAATAGAATGTCATTCTGAATTAGTTCAAGTTCTATATTAATTAGAGGAGTAACTTCCATTCAAGTTATGTGAAAAGGCATCTTTTATTTCTTCTGGAACTGAATTGGCCTAGAAAAACAGAACTAAACCAGGAAGGTGTATAGACGTGAGACCATTTCTTTTATTTATTATTTTTTTCCTTTTTAAACTTACCTTTATTGTTGAATTTGAATGTATTTCAGATATCCCCTCCTTTCCCCTCCTTGACCCCCACCTCCTCACTCCCACTCCCTCCTGCTTTCCCCACACTATTGTCTGTGTGCATTGGTTATGCAAATAAGTTCTTTGGTTTATCTCTTCCTGCCCTCCCACCCCCCTTCCCTTTGAGGTTCATCAGTCTAACAACCAATTTGTACTTCTTAATCCCTTCACTGTGTTTGCACATCACCCAACCCCCCTCCTATCTGATAAGCAACAAAAAGTTCTCTGTATCTGAGTCTGTATCTGTTCTGCTTGCTCAGATTCTGCTTGTTTATAGATTCAATTGTTGATAGATATGTATTTATTGCCATTTTATTGTTCATATTTTTTACCTTGTACATTTCATATAATACTAGTTTGGTGGTGATAAATTCCTTTAGCTTTTTCTTGTCTGGGAAGCTCTTTATATGTCCATCGATTCTAATTGATAGCTTTGCTAGGTAGAGTAATCTTGGTTGTAAGTTCTTGGTTTTCATCACTTTGAATATTTCTTGCCACTACCTTCTGGCCTGCAACGTTTCTTTTGAGAAATCAGCTGACAGTCTTATGGGATCTCCCTTGTAGGTAACTAACTGCTTTTCTCTTGCTGCTTTTAAGATTCTCTCTTTGTCTTGAACATTTTGCATTTTTGATGATGATATGTCTTGGTGTAGGCCTCTTGGGGTTCATCTTGCTTGGGTCTCTCTATGCTTCCTGGAAGTGTATGTCTGTTTCCTTCACCAAGTTAGAGAAGTTTTCTGTCATTATTTTTTTCAAACAGGTTTTCAATTTCTTGCTCCCTCTCTTCTCCTTCTGGCACCCCCATAATGTGAATGTTGGTACACTTGAAGTTGTCCCAAAGGCTCCTTACACTATCCTCATTTTCAGGGTTCTTTTTTCTTTTTGCTCTCTGATTGGGTGTGTTTTCCTTCCTTATATTCTAAATCAGTGGTTTCCTTCTTGGCTTTACCTTATCTACTATTGATTCCCTGTAAATTACTTTTTATTACAGTTAGTGCATCCTTCATTTCTGACTGATCCTTTTTTATGCTCTTGAGGTTGAAGTTCTCACAAAGTTCCTTGAAATTCTCACTAAGTTCATTGAGCATCATTATAATCAGTTAACTCTCATCTGTTAGATTGATTATCTCTGTTTTGTTTAGTTCTTTTCCTGGAGTTTTGTTCTGTTCTTTCATTTGGGACATGTTTCTTTGTCTCCTCATTTTGGCTGCCTCCCTGTGTTTGTTTCTATATATTAGGTATAGTTGCTATGTCTCCTAGGCTTCCTAGAGTGGCCTATTGTAGTAGGTGTCCTGTAGGGTCCAGTGGCACAGCCTCCCTGGTCACCCAACTGGGCCATCAAGGTACACCCCTCACGTAGACTTTATACCCTTCTGTTGTAATTGAGTGTTGATTGCTGTTGACACATCAATGAGAGGGTTTTACTCAGGCTGATCAGCTGTAAGACTGGCTGTGCCCACTGACCACCGACCTCTGACTACCTTGGATAATCAGTTGTGCAGGGGCCCACCACATAGGGCAAGACTTACTTCAGCAAGGCTCTGGTACCACTGAGTCCATTTCTTGAGTGTGTCACTGTGAAGGTGGTTGGGTAGTGGTGCTTTGCCATGGTCCGAAGCTGTCCACTGGGTGTGCTGGCTCTAGGGCAAGGTCAGCCACTGTTTGTGTTTTATCCAGGGCCACCAGGCATAAACTACAAAGCAATCTGCCAATGGGTGCTTCTTGTGGTGGGCTTGGAGGTGCCCAGGGAAAGACAACCTGTGAACCAAGGCTGGCTCCTTCTAGTGCTGGGCCTGGGGCCACTTAGCAAGAGGTATGGGTCTTGCTGAAGCCAGATGCTGCTTGTTTGAGAGAATTTAGAAAAATCTGAAGCAGGAGGTAAGTAGGCCAATCCTATGGTAAAGCCACTGGAAACAGCTTGGGTGGGCCCAAAAGTTGGGTGGGGCAGGGCCTCAGGTAATCACCAGGGTGGGGTAAACAGTGTGGGCCAGGTAGCTGGAGTCCCAAATGGCACCTGTCTGCTGGCCCCATTGGGGAAGGGCTCACCAAAGGAACAACAGCCTCCGCCAGCATGTCCGACTGGGAGAAACCTGCCTCTTCAGCTCTCACCCTGATGTCAAACAACTCAGTTCTTCGCTATACGTCTCTGGTGCCTTTCAAGGTGCCTCCTCGGCACTGGAGCCCAGAGGGTGAGTGCAGTAAGTCTGAGTGTGGGCCCTTTAAGAGGAGCTGCCTGGGGCTCCAGAAGCCTCAGCCTCTTTCAGTCTCAGTTCTTGCTGGTGTTACAGCCAGAAGTTATAGGGACTTCTCTTCCTGGTACTGGAACCCTGAGCTGGGGAGACTCATGTGGGACGGGGACCCCTCACTCCTCAGGGAGGACCTTCCCAGCCTAAGTGCCCTCCTGATTTTTATCTGCAACGTGTGTATGGGACCAGCCGATCTGTGCCTCCACCCCAGCTACCAGTCTCCATGTGGCTTCTTCTTTAATTTTGTAATTATAGGACTTCCATTTAGGTCCATTTCCGGTGGTTCTGAATGATGGTTATCTGCACTTTAGTTGTAATTTTGATGTTGTTGTGGAAGGGGCGGTATCACATTTGCCTACGCTGCCATCGTGACCCAGAGCCCACTCATGAGGCCATTTCTTTTAATATTAGAAATTTATAATTATATAGAAAGATAAAGACTGTGCTCATAATCTAAATTTGATGAGACCACAAAAAGTTATCTAATCAACTCAAGATCTAATCAGGTCTGTAGTTACACATTTTATTTATGAAGATCGTGAAGGTGAGACTCTTAAGAGAGATGAGGGCAGGGACAGGGGCTCTGGAAGGTTCAAATCACATTCCTGAGGTTAGGAGTTTAGACTAAAGCTGTGTATTCAATGTTATCATTCTAACCTCTACCAGTTATTCCTACTAATTAGATATCTAATAGCTAATTGAAACACTATTTATTTTTACTTTTTCCAGAGATGTATCCTGCAATGAAATAAAATTTATACAAAGGAGTGCATTTGAATCATTGCCTTTTTTGAAATATTTGTAAGTTATAAATATAACTTTATTGTGTTTAGAAATTTGATAAAACTTAATTGTAAACCTCTCTGTTATTTATTTTGAAGTATGTTAAAATTTTATTGGTAGAAAGCTACTAGGTTCCGTAGGAAATCCTTGTTGTCTCTAGCACAGACTCGTGTGAGAATTGTCTGAGACCGGAAGGAAGCATGCCACAGCAGTGTTCTCACCAGGGTGATGCTGCGCCCAGGTGAATTTGGCAAGATGCGAGAGATTTTTGGTTGTCAGGACTGTAGATGTTCTACTGGCACCCAGTGGGCAGAGACCAGAGTTGTTATTCAACATCCTACAAGGCACAGGACAGCCCCCGTAACAGAGTTATCTAGCCCACATGCCAATAGAGTCGGAGTTGTGTTTCCCTGTTCTAGAGAAATGCAGATCACTTAGTACAGGTGTTTTGGAGCACGTACTGTTCGTATCTAATGCCACATGTGTGAACATGGAAGCATGACTCATAAGCAAACATTTCCCACAGTGAGACTGATTTAGTGGAGAGAGGGAGTATTGAGGTGTTTTATCATATACAAATTAGAATCACTGCTAAAGGATAAATATCTAAGAGAATATTTTTCTCTTCTTTTGCGTGTGTCTTTTTTTGTAGAAATCTTGGTTGCAACTTAATCGCAAAAGTGAGCTATGGAACATTTCAGGCCTGGCATGGAATGCAGTTTTTACACAAGTTGTAAGTAAAATGGAAGATGAGCACATGTAAAAACCTATGTGTAAAAACACCGGACAGTGATTGGTTGCTGGGTGTAAGCCCAGTTTGAACTCTGAAAACTATGGCTTAAGAGGCTTTCTTTTTTCAAATGAGGAAACTAAGGTACAGAGAGGCCGAGAGAGCGGTCTAACTCACAGATGCCATGCTCTGCTCTCCCCAGTACTGATCTGTGGCAGGGGCAGTAGATGCGCCAGGCCCATAACAAAGTAGCGTTGTCATGGGAACCCCAGTGGTGCTGCTGCTCCGATGTATGAATGGCCCTTGAAATTCCACTTCTGAATTTAACTGTCATTCTGGCTCATGGGCACAGTTCCCAACTGTTTAAATGTACGCACCACAGAATGAAAGCACTAAGTCGAGCTCCGAGGTACCAGGGAGCACAAGGTGTGGGTGCTTCCTCAGCCATGAGTCTCTTAAATGGTGAAGCAGAAAGAATTCCTAACCTGCCACAGGGCACTGCTCTCCTCAGTACCCAGAACGTTATTTGCAGAAAGTATGTGCCTCTGCAGTGAATTCTCTGTGGCAAAGGGAACCTTCGAGGTGTGGAAGAATATGCCGTTATGTGAAGGTGTGGTGGGAAAACATTCACAGAGAAACTGCATAGCTGTAGCCTCATTCCAGTTTCTTTCCCGACTTCTCCTCAATATGAAGTTGTGGTGTTATTCCCTCTCAGCTCGAAAATTCTGTGATTTCTCTGTGATACAAGCAAATCGTAGTGGGTTTGTTCAGTGGCTGAAAAGGATTTGAGACTCAAGGTGAAGATCGTCCTCTAAACTTGTCTTTGGAAAAGACTGTCTTCCTGTCTTGTGGTTCAGAAATCCAATTTCACACGGTTCATTTCGGTTAGACGTGGCGTCAGGGTGGGTCTGGAGCTGGATGGACAGTTCCTGCCGACGCCCAGCAGCAGCGGCCTCCCCTCTTCCCGCGTGAAGTAGCTGATGCCTCACTTGGGGAAGGACACTGAGGGTCAGTTGCTTTGGCCCGCGTCAGAGAGCAGGCTGGTGAGGTACCTCCACCAAGAGGTTTGGTAGTGAACTCGGCGCTCAACTTAATTCTTTTATTCTGTGGTGCATACATTTCAATACAATGTGTTAAACTCACCACCTTTACTAAACACGTGTAACACTGAGAGTCCCCCCTAGAATCTGAGTCCCACTAAAGTTGTGGAATCACAGTGGGTAAAAATGAATGAATTCATTCAAAAACATTGACTGGGTGTCGTGCCCACTGTGTGGCAGCGCTGTACTAAGTGCTGGGGGTACAAGAAGAAGAGGGCAGGGACTTTGTCCCCAAGAAACTTGGATGGTGGAAGGAGGAAGATGGATGCTGATGGGGAAACATCCGAGAGCCGTGCAGCATCTCTGCAGCAGGCTGACGAGACAGGAGGGAGCCAAAGCGGGGCATGGGGTGGTTGGAAAAGATTCCTAATAGAGGAGGCAGCAACTTGTTTATCTGGAGTTTTGGGGTTCATCTTAATGACAGAAAAAGGTAATGAAAGAATCAGAGCTAGCTGGTGTTAGAAATAAATTGCTACTCCTATCACGTGATTTGACTAGAGCTGTACTTCTAAAACTACTCACAGTTACTGTCAAAAGATTGTCAGAAACCGTAAGTGTGTGTTGGGGGCTGGGCTCCTTTGTCTGGGGCCAGATCTTTCTCATGGGCAAAACTAATTTGCTTCAGGAAACCTTTGCCACAGTGAGATATAAACTCAGTCACATCTCTTCCAAAGGCAGCTTGCCAAGGGAGGATGCCACCCCTCGAGTTAAGTCATTGTATCATCTATATCATGTCTTCCTGGGGTTTTATAAATTGAAACCATGTTTCCCCTGCATTAAATAAGTTTGTAATAAGTGTGAGGTGGATTTATCCTGAAACGAATGAGTCTTAAGCTTCAGGGCTCTTCACTTGCATAGGCCCCTTCCAAGTTCTAGCAAGTGGGAGGGGCCTAGAACTTTCATATTCGTAGTTTTGCATCTTTTCCCAAAACAGATGTGGTTCAGGCTCCACAAAACTTTGATTCACCCCTGGGTTTCAAGTATAGTTCAGTAAGTTTCTTGAATGAAGTTTCTATGTTAGTGACTAACACTGAGTGAACAAGTTAGTTAGCAGTGTGATAGAGAATTAATTTTGAATATGAAATCCACCTCAATGACATGCCAAGAGTGTGTTAATGAAGTAACACTGTGTGAGTGGTAGTCATACTCATATTTCTTCCAGATAAAATCAGGAGTGAAATGTATTATGGAAAACCAGCAGTGGTTGATAATCCTAATGATAAGAGTATCCTTATTTTTTCTGACTTTAAAGTGCTTTTCCGCATTCGCCTACACAGGTCCAGACTGATGGTTTATTTTAAACACTTCACTGAGGTCACCTCATTGATTCTAACAATAGAAGCCCCATGATTTTAGGAAACGGGGGACTCTACGCTGTAGAAAGGCTCTGCCCTGTCCAGGTGGAGCACATTCACTGCTGGCTTGTCTGTGGAGCATCGATGTTGGGCAAGAACATAGGCACTAAGGGAGAAGAAGAGGAAAACCCAAGTCTATCCCTGTGGAAGTATTTACCCCACTGGTGAGAATATCAGTGAGGTAGGTCAGGCCACACTGTGAAGGCCAATTGAGCTGCGGTCACAGAGACACCCTAATATTCCTCTAGTCAACCAGCATTGATTGGTGCCCTTTAGACAGCGTGAGCATACACGACACCACAGGGCATTGTCATCACTTTTTGGTATGGACTGAAATCCTGGTGGCTTCTTCTTTGATTCCAAAAGGCATAAACTTTGACAATGAAAAAACAAACAAGTGGGGTCTATCCTTTGGGATGATTTAGAGTGGCTGTTTTTTTTTGTTTGTTTTTTTCCTCACCCGAGGACATTTTTCGATATTTTGTTCAGATAGAGTGAGAGGGAGAGAGAGAGAGAGAGAAACATCGATGTGAAAGCGACACATCGAGTGGTTGCCACCCACATGACCCAACCAGGGCTGGGGACAAACTGCAACCAAGGTACGTGCCCTTAGCGGGAACCGAACCCGGGTCTCTCCGGACCGCAGGCCGACGCTCTAACCGCTGAGCCAAACCGGCCAGGGCTAGAGTGGCTGTTTATTTGTGATGGTTCAAACGTTTTGAGATTGTCAAACCCAGAAGATATGATGATACTTTTCTCCTTCCAACTGCATCTTATTGTAGTCATTCTTCCTCTGCCCATAATGTTTCTTTAGTACCTCCATTCATTAGGTGTTTATTATGTTTGAGGCACTATACTTACTCCTTTTACTCATTATACAAATTAAGAGAACATGCCTAAAGCTCTTAGAGTAGTGCTTGGCACGTGGTTAATGCCCTTTACATGTTACCTCACACTATATCTCACCTCGTTTTCCCAGCAACTCTTGTGATATATCCATTATTATATCCACTGAAACTCAGAGACGTTGGGTAACTTGCATAGGTTCACACTATTAATTAGTGGCAGAACCACTTGAAAGCTTTGCAAGTAATTTTCTATTCTTTTTTACCCTTATGAAAAATGCTACTGTGAACATTCACGTACAAGTGTTTGTATGGACATACATTTTTAATTCGTTTGGGTGTATACCAAGAGTGAAATTGCAAGGTCATATAGTAACTCTTTGTTTAACTGTTTTCCACAGTGGCTTAACCATTTTGCATTTCCACCAACAATGTATGAGGATTCCAGTTCCTCCACATCCTTGCCAGCCTTTGTTACTGTCTGTCTGTCTGTCTGGTTATAGTCATCTTAGCGAATGTAAAGTAGTATTTCATGGTGGCTTTAATTTTTTTTAATTAATTAATTTTTGTTTCAGATGTTTCTCCTTTTTCTCCCATTGACATCCTCCTCCTCACTCTCGCCCCCCCCCCACAGTATTGTTGTTTATGTTCATTGGTTATGCATGTAAGTTCTTCAGTTTATCTCTTCCCACCCCCACCCTCATTCAAGGTTTGTCATTCTCATCCCCACTTCTATATCTCTGGGTCTATTTTGTTCATCACTTTATTTTGTTCATTACATTACACAAATAAGTGAGATCATGTGATATTTGTCTTTCTCTGATTGGCTTATTTTGCTCCACATAATACTCTCCAAGTCCCTTCAAGTCGTCTCAAAGGATAAGAGATCTTTCTTTTTTACAACTGCATAGTATTCCATTGTGTAGATGTACCACAACTTTTTTATACACTCATCTTTTGATGGACACTTGGGCTATTTCCATATCTTAGCAATGGTAAATAGTACTGCTATGAACATAGAGGTGCATATATCCCTTCTGATTGGTGTTCAGGCTTCTTAGGATACACTTCTAGAAGTAGGATCACTGGGTCAAATGGCAGTTCAATTTTTAATTTTTTGAGAAAACACCATATTGTTTTTTATAGTGGCTGCACCAGTGCATTTCCACCAGCAGTGTACTAGAGTCCCCTTTTCTCCACACCCTCGCCAGCATTTGTTTGATGATTTGTTGATGGTAGCCATTCTGGCAGGTGTGAGGTGAAACTTCATAATTGTTTTAATTTGCATCTCTCTGATGATTAGTGACATTGGGCATTTTTTCATGTCTCTTGGCCATTTGTATGTCCTGTTCAGAGAGGTGTCTATTTAGGTCCTCTGCCCATTTCTGAACCGGGTTCTTTGTCTTCCTTTTGTTGAGTTGTATGAGTATTCTATATATTTTGGAAATTAACCCCTTATCTGATGTATCATTGGCAATGGTGCTCTCCCATACAGTGGGTTCCCTTTCCATTTTGATGGTTGTTCCTTTTGCTGTGCAGAAACCTTTTAGTTTGATATAATCCCATGTATTAATTTTTTCCTTTGTTTCTCTTGCCCTAGGCATTGATTGTATCAGTGAAAATTCTGCTGTGTTGATGTCTGAGATTTGGCTGCCTACATTTTCTTCTAAGATGTTTATGGATTTATAAGTCACATTTAAGTCTTTTATTCATTTTGAGTTTATTCTTGTGTATGGTATAAGCTGGCTGTCTAGTTTCATTTTTTTTTTTTTTTAATGTAGCTGTCCAATTATCCCAACACCATTTATTGAAGAGACTATCTTTTCTCTATTATATGCTCTCACCTTCTATGTTGAATACTAATTGTGCATACTGTCTTGGGTCAATTTCTGAGTTTTCTGTTCTGTTCCATTGATCTATATGCCTATTCTTGTGCTAGTACCAAGCTGTTTTTTGTTTTGTTTTTTTATCCTCACCCGAGGACATTTTTCCATTTTTTGCTCAGGTAGAGTGGGAGGGAGAGAGAGGAACAGAGAGAGAGAGAGAAACGTCGACGTGAAAGGAACACATCGAGTGGCTGCCACCCGCACAACCGACCAGGGCCGGGGACAAACTGCAACCGAGGTACGTGCCCTTAGCAGGAACCGAACCCGGGTCTCTCTGGACCGCAGGCCGACGGTCTAACCGCTGAGCAAAACCGGCCAGAGCAGTACCAAGCTGTTTTGATTACAACGGCTTTTTTTTTTTTTTCTTCCAAATCTTTATTGTTGGATGTAAAATGTATTACAGATGTTCCACATTTTTCCCCCATTGACCCCCTCCTCCCCACTCCCGCCCCCCTCCCACCTTTTCCCACATTATTGTCTGTGTCCATTGGTTATGTATATAAGTTCTTTGGTTTATTTCTTCCCACCCTCCCAACCCCTTTCCCTTTGAGGTTTGTCAGTCTAGCAATGAATTTGTGCTTCTTAATCCCTTCACCTTTTTCACCCATTCCCCCAATCCCCTTCCCAACTGGCAACCAACAAAATGTTCTCTGTATCTATGAGAATGTTTGTTCTTCCTGTTCATTTTGTTTGTAGATTCCATTGTTGATAGATATGCATTCATTGCCATTTTGTTTGTTCATACATTTTATCTTTTTCTTCAAAAAGACCCATCATTTCATATAATAACGGTTTGGTGGTGATGAACTCCTTTAACTTTTTCTTGTCTGGGAAAGTTTTTGTATATCCATCGATTCTAAATGACAGCTTTGCAGGATAGAGTAATTTTGGTTGTAGGTTCTTGGTTTTCATCACTCTAAATATTTCTTGCCACTCCCTTCTGGCCTGCAAAGTTTCTTTTGAGAAATCAGCTGACAGCCTAATGGGTACTCCCTTGTAGGTAACTAGCTGCCTTTCTCTTGCTGCTTTTAATATTCTCTCTTTGTCTTGAACCTTTTGCATTTTGATGATGATGTGTCTTGGTGTGGGCCTCTTGGGGTTCATCTTGTTTGGGACTCTCTGTGCTTCCTGGACTTGTATGTCTGTTTCCTTCACCAAGTTAGGAAAGTTTTCTGCCATTATTGTTTCAAACAGGTTTTCGATTTCTTGTTCTCTCTCTTCTCCTTCGGGCACCCCCAAGATGCGAATGTTGGCACGCTTGAAGTTATCCCAGAGGCTCCTTACTCTATCCTCATTTTTTTGGATTCTTTTTTCTTTTTGCTCTTCTGATTGGGGATTTTTTGCTTCCTTATATTCCAAATCGATGGTTTGCTCCTTGGATCTACATACTCTATTATTGAAGCTGTGTAAATTATTCTTTATTTCAGTTAATGCCTCCTTTAATTCTAACTGTGTATCCATGATTTCTAACTGGTACTTTTTTATGCTCTTGATGCCCTCCCTAAGTTCACTGAGGTTCTCACTAAGTTCATTGAGCATCCTTATAAGCAGTATTTTGAACTCAGTATCTGTTAGGTTGCTTATCTCCCTTTCGCTTAGTTCTTTTATTGGGGTTTTGTTCTGTTCTTTCATTTGGGACCTGTTTCTTTGTATCCTCATTTTGGCTGCCTCCCTCTGTTTGTTTCTGTGTATTACTTAATGAGAGGTATGGGGCTCGCTGAGACCCGGTGCTGCTCGTTTGAAAGAATTTAGGAAAAACCTGAAGCAGGATCCAAGACCGGCCAATCCTATGGTTAAGCAACTGGCAACAGCTTGAAAGTTGTGTGGGGCGGGGTGGGGCGGGGCCTCAGGGAGTCAGCAGGGCGGGGCTACCAGTGTGGGCCAGGTTGCTGGAGTCCCAGATATGGCTTCTGTCTGCCGCCCCCGGGAAGGGCTCACCAAAGGAATAAAGGCCTCTGACAGCACGTTTGTCCCCGAGGAAGGCCCCTCTCCAGCCCTCGCTCCAATGCCAAACAGCTCAGTTCTTCCCTGTATGTCTCTGGTGCCCCTCGAGCTGCCTCCCCTCCAAGCTTAGAGGGAGAGAGTCCGATAAGTCCGTGCGCCGGCCCTTTAGGGAGCTGCCTGGGGTTCCAGCCGCTTCAGCTTCCCTGAGCCTCAGTTTCCGCTGGTTTTTCCAGCCAGAAGTTATGGGGACTTCTCTTCCTGGCACTGGAACCCTGAACGGGGCACCTGGTGTGGGACGGGGACCCCTCAGTCCTCAGGAAGGACCTTCCCAGCCGCGGGATCCTCCTGATTTTTATCCACCACACTTGGGTGTGGGACCAGCCCGTCTCGCTGCTGCGCGCTCCGCCGCTGCTGCGCCACTGCCCCCCCTTGCGCCTCCG